TAAATGTATCTCATGATTAAAAGTGAAGTAAATCCACAGGACAAGAGATACTGTAGGTTGAGAGAAAAACAACAGAAACAATAGCTACAACTATTAATGGTTGAATACATGATACGTCTCATCAGGCATCATGTTGATTCATTTTATTTCATTTCATTTCATCCTATTCAGATACTTCAAAAATCTTCCCAAATGATAACTCCACTCCAATGACTCCAAGTAAAGCCAGGTTCATTTCTTTGAAACCTGTGCTTTAAAATCCTTGGTTTGTCATCAGACGAGAAAACCACACATTAAAGTGAAATGAATTGATAATCATTGTGTTTTAAGATGTAGTGAATGGCTTGTCTCATCTCCTCATATCATTAAGAAACTCTGGGCTTTTATTATATTGTGAGAATCTGTTGCTCTGCAGATTGTTAAATTACTTCATGCTAGAAATGCCGGTGGTTTCGAATAAGGTGTTATTTTTTTTCCTACTGTGTTATTTTTCCATCTTGTTTATCTTTTATATAATCACAGAAAATATTTAGTTTAAAGAGAAGAAAAAAAATCACAAAAACAATGTTATTTGTGATATGTATATGGTCAGGCTACTAAAGAAGAAGCAGTCTCATAATACGTGGCACAATGAACATAAACTGTATATACACATTACTTTAAAAATCCTTTTGCATGTTTTAAGAATTGGAAACAATTGGTCCTTTAATGCTTTCTCTCCCTTTAGCAAAGCTCCAGCACAGTGACAAGCAAGCAGGACAGAAGGGTGGACATTTCCCAGAATCTCTACAATGGACATGGTTTTTGTTGGCCTTGTCAGCACCAAGGGGAAGCAAAGAGGAATAAACATTAGTGGAACTGACAAGAAACTCTGAGTTTTGCCAGACAAAAAGAACAGAGCAAGAAATTCATATGTGTAAAGCTGGTAAGTTCATCACACACACGTTCTCACACCCGGGACTAAAGGGCAAAAGGGTTAAAATCCGAATGAAATCCATCCCTCTGCTGGAAAGAAGCATGGTGGCTTAGGGGCTAAAAAGCATTTAAAAAGCATTTAAAACAGAAAATAATGAACAGTATTGTATATGCACTATGTGGACAGTATTGTATATGCACTATGTATGCATACACTCAGACACACACATACACTACAAAGGAATCAAGAAAACAATCATAAACCCACCTTGGCACAAAACTATCACTGATGGGACTTATTACAGTGTATGTAACATTTTTACATGTACACACCTGAGCAAATCATCTCAAAAGTGCTTTAGGAAACTATGAATGAAGTCCATCCAGATGTAGTATTCTTTGGGATCTGCAATCCCTTGAAAATGTAGTCTCAGTTAAGAAGACTCTCAACTTAGCTGAAAAATATATGCCTTTCATGCTAAATGTTCCAAAATCTGTCTCCAGTCATCAAGTTAATACCTAATATTGGACAAGTTGAAGGGTATCTGTGAACAACAGACCCAGAAGTTAATTTTAGGCGTTTCTCCCATTGTAGATAGATTATCTTTAAAACATGGTAAGTCTGTAAGGGAGATAGGTGGTCTCTAAGTATGATATATAGCAATATTATGGAAGAGGAACAAAGTGGAAAGTCCACTTTCAGATCAATGCAATTGATTTGAGAGTGGATTTTTAAAAGACAGGCTCCAAGAATTATATGGAAAAAGTTACAGTATCTGCATAACTTTCTTACAGTGGATTTACAAAAGAGATTTTGTTAAAGTCTTGTTGAGTTTTGTGAAAAATTGTGAGACAAAGAAAAAAATGAAAAAAAACCAACACCTACGACATTACTTGAAGGTTAGATTAGATCAGATTAGAGATTTGAAAGAATTAGAGAGAAGTGATAAATTGCTAAAATAGTTTATACTCACGATGAAGGGAAAGTAATTTTTTATATATTTCTTTTTTCTTTACTAAATTATTTCTCTATTTTTCTTTCTTTTCTGTACTTCTCTTTATTTATACATACATTAATTCATTTATGCACCTTATGCGTAAGTTATGCATCCCCATCTCCATTTTATGGTATGCCACACTTGGAATGGTTTCATGTTGGTTCAATGCCCCAAAGCAAATCATAATTTATTTAAGGACCACTAACCCAATTTCACACATCATCTTAAACCAAAATAAAATTCATACCATGGTGCAGAGCAATGCATGACTGCCTCTGTCAGACTAAATTCTTCCTTTTTATTTGTCAGACTCCTCTTGACTTTTATTACATTCACCTCTTCACTTCCTTGAAAAGGAAATCCTCAATTTTTTTTTCCAGATATGTCTCCTTGAAAGTTAACTTCTCTGAAAGCACCTTCCAGCAAGATTTATTTCCTAATAAGTGTGCACATGACTGGAATAAAAGCAATGTACTAAAACAGTCAATGGTTGTCACTACCTTAAAATATATAAACTTTTCTTCCGTTGTACAAAAATAAGTACAAAGAGAAAAATGTTTATAAGATTTTGTTGCAGATTTTTTTTTTAAGAAAAAGCAACAGCAAAGGAGGAATCAAGGTGAAATCTATCACATGTTATTTTTAGGCATGGTAAGAGCAACTGGCTGCCAGGTTTGGGTGTTTCCCAGACAAATATGTATTTCCTTTTGAATTCCAATCCACCCAGACAGTGTGTGAACGTATCAAACTGATTGGGTTTATCTCAGGAAAATGTGTAGGCCATTCAGAAATGTTTTAATTGCTTGAGATTCATTTAAAGCAAATGGTTGTAAAGACTTGACCAATGCTGGTGAATAAAATAATTATAAATAAATTGTAGGCTCTCTGGATGTTGCTGGACTGTATCTCCCAGAATCCTTCGCCACTGCCCTCCTGGCTCCACTGAATGGACAGCTGTAATCCAGCAATATTTGCAAAGTGACCAGTGGATTTTCTTGTGCACTTGATTGACCATCATGGGAACAGACTGCACTAGATGGGCTAGTTCAATCCGGCAGGAAGTTCTTGAAATAGTCCTTATGTATTGATGTGTTATAAGGCAATTTGTTTAGCCAGAAGTAGGCCATAAAATTCTCCAT